ATCAACAGAAGAATTAAGTTAGCATCGAGTACTTATTGAAGAAACTCAATCATATTCAAATCTAGAATACCACTTTATCTATAGAAGAAAACATTCGACCAATGTGTACTATCAGTCATGACCTAAGCATGCGAAACCTGGACACTTAAATCGGACATTACTAGTACAAAATATGCTGGGAATAACCAAGAGACCGTAACTGAATAGAGTGGATTCGATAAAAGACCAGGTAATAGTGATGGGTTGTTATTTAACTATCTGTTATTTTATAACAATTATTTAGAAATAACATAACGCAACCGTTACTGCTTTTAAAAAATAACAGATATAAAATAACCACACGCAGAGATCGAGTGTTCGTGAAACGAAATCGGCGCTCTGCACCGCCACGAAATTCGATGCTGCTCGAAGCAATTCCAAAAAACAACTAGTATGGATGGAAAACCTATTATTTCGACAACCATCGATACAGGCGGCGAGATACAACGGACAACGGAGTGGGGTATGCGCTACGGCGCGGCGCGTCGTGTTGGGCTGACAACAGCACAGACAACAGCTTAAAAATAATAGGATATAAAAGAAGCAGCTTTTTTGAAACAGTTGCGGGCATAACGCCTGGCTGTCGAGATAACAGGAGTGGGAAAGGAGCGCTGCTGCATCGGTCGATTGTCGATGGAGGCTCGCAACGGGTTGGAGAATAACGCATCAGTTGTTTTAGCTATGTTGTTTTTTTACCTGTTACGAGCATAACAGAACGGCGTTCGAGATAATCGGAGGTTTGAAACAGGTTGGAGAATAACGCATCAGTTGTTTTAGATACATATTGTTTTTCAACCTGTTACGAGCATAACGGGCGGAGGTCGAGATATTATGGCGCTGTATGTTTCAATACTTTGTTATTAAGTTTCAATATTTAAGTATTTATTTATTCTGAAAAATTTTCAGAATAATATTTTAAGATTTTTTAAAAATGTATACAGGGTGTTTTGAAAAATCTGGTCATTGATTAATCACGATCCTGCTTAAAGCCCTTGACGTAAAAAGCTGATTTTTGGAAAACGGATTGACTTTAGGGTGTAGAGGTGCGATAAGAAGGGATTTTTCGAAACTCAAATTCTAAGGGGGTGAAACCACCCTCAAATATTAGAATATTTTTTATTTAAAAACTGGTGAGTTTTTCGAAAAAACTCTTAAACACGTATATTTTATTTTGTTGTTTTACATATTTTGAGATTTTTACAAAATATATACAGGGTGTTTCATAAAATATGACCACTGAGTAATCACTATTCTGCTTAAACTGCTTGACGTTTAAAGCTGATTTTTGGTAAACGGATTGACTGTGGGGTGTAGAGGTGCGATAAGGAGGGGTTTCTCGAATCTCAAATTCCAAGAGGGTGAAAACGCCCCTCAAATATTACAATATTTATTATTTAAAAAACGGTTAGTCTTTCGGGAAAACGATTGGACACGCATAATTTATTTTGTTTTTTTACATATTTTGAAATTTTTTAAAAAATAATACAGGGTGTTCCAAAAAGTTGAGTAATTGATTAACCACGATTCTGCTTAAACTGCTCGACGTTTAAAGCATATTTTTGGCAAATGTGAGAAAATTTTATCCAGTTTGTATGTTAATGGAAATTCTTGCTTTGCTTTATCATCACCATTACAAATTAATAATTCGATGCGAACGAAGTCGCGGGTACAACTTAACAAGTATAGCTAGAGACGTGAGAAATATAAAATAAGAGACGCCCCCCGATGCGCAGTGGACATCCCACAAATTTGCTTCAATCAGATTTTTCGTAGCGTAACTGCATCTCTCTTCCGCCGAATGCGTTCTCTCTCTATCGTGTGCGCGACCGGTGCTATCCCCAAGTCTCTTCCTATATTTGTCAAACTGTACATGCTAGTTTAAGTGTAAAATTAATTCGAACTCTAGTGTGTAGTTGGTTTACTTATGAAGAATATACTACACATTTTCTTATATTGCTATTTTTTGACCGCAAATGGTAAAATCATAACGAAGAGCTTCTCGCCCGTCGAGTGAGATGCACCCTGTACACTGCTACGCAATTCAGAATCTACGCGGATCGAGGGGTAGGGCGTAGGTAGATCGGAATTTATAGATATAGACGAGTGGCGGCATTTTGGCTTTTTTATATCGCAATTTGTAAACAGCGCTTATTTGTAAACAACCCCCGTTTTTAGAGAGGTATTTTAGATAACAATCGATATTTAGAAATGTTATGACACCCTGGAAATACTACCACCGAGCACGTCATTGTTGCAACTGCGTTAATACGCCTGGCGGTGACCGCCTCATATTCTTTCAGATATTTAGCAATAAAATAAAGAAACCTGTTATTTTTAAGCTGTTATTTTAAGCTGTTTTTTATAAATAACTATAACAGTTTCAACTGTTATCTAAAAATAACAGTTTTGCCCATCACTACCAGGTAATAGATGTCATCCACAGAATGAAGTCCCTCAAATGGCAATGGACAGGACACCTGGCAAGAAGGACGGGCAACAGATGAAACACAAAAATTACAGCATGGTACCCACGAAGAATTAAGAGATCTAGATCGAACCTGAGATTACAAACAACAAATAACGCTAAAAAGCCAAAATAGCTTCATCGACAAAGCATTTACAAAACAAACAAAAGCACAAAAAATATACAAATAATATAAAATATACAATACAAATCATACAATTCAAAAAAAAATAAGTCGTTAAAATTACAAATAGAACATACATGGACTGGAAAATTAATTTTATTTTTCAGAAAGTATTAGAGACAGAGTTTACCAAAAATGCTTTTTATGACTACTAGTGGGTAAATGAATTTCTAGATATATTACGAATTTTTTTGGAACTTTAGTTTCGGAGATATAAATTTAATCGGACCTTTTTAAAAAAATTAATTTTATTTTTCAGAAAATATTTGAGACAGAGTTTACCAAAAATGCTTTTTATAACTACTAGCGGGTAAATGAATTTCTAGATATATTACGAATTTTTTTGGAACTTTAGTTTCGGAGATATACATTTAATCGGACATTTTTAAGAAAATTAATTTTATTTTTCAGAAACTATTAGAGACAGAGTTTACCAAAAACGCTTTTTATAACTACTAGCGGGTAAATGAATTTCTAGATATATTACGAATTTTTTTGGAACTTTAGTTTCGGAGATATACATTTAATCGGACATTTTTAAAAAAATTAATTTTATTTTTCAGAAACTATTAGAGACAGGGTTTACCAAAAATGCTTTTTATAACTACTAGTGGGTGAATGAATTTCTAGATATATTACGAATTTTTTTGGAACTTTAGTTTCGGAGATACTAAAATTAAGGGAGGCTACACCATAATTGGAAATGGTTGAATAAGCTGAAAATGATGATGATGATGATTTTCTTAAAAAAAGTTGTTTAAATTTTGAAACACCCCACACCCCGTAAAACGAGGCATCCCTGCAATAAAAATATAAAATATTATATATAATATTATTTATATTTTTAATCGGATAGAAGATTCTATATAAACCATATTAATTTGATTTAAAAGTTGTTGGTTAAGTGCATCATAAATAAGAGGATGGTTTTGATTTGACGCGCGTTATAATTGCAGAAAAACCGCCCTATACGCCACAGGTGCCATTGGGGGGTGAGAAAATGCAACAAGGGTGTATAGGTCGTGTGTGTTCGACTTCTTCAGAATGCATGCTCACGACTGTCGAGGGACCAAAGCTGACACGAGCTCAATTTATGGCGGCATCTCGACTATTTATGAATACTTTCACGGAATTATTGCCATACGGATGATTTCGGAGACTTCCAGCTTGATTTTTCTTCCTAGATTTTTTTATCGCACTTAAACCGGAACTTACTTCTACACTCAGAACGGAGAATTTTTTTGTCAAGTTTAAAATGTTATATTTTTTTACTTTTTATTATTTATTTAGTAAATTTTATTCTGATCTTATCTATACTGACTCACTGATTAATCACGATCTTGCTCAAACCACTCAACATAAGAAGCTGAATTTTGGCATACAGGTTGATTCTTGGGTGTAGAGGTTCGATAAGAAGGGATTTTTCGAAATTCCAGTTCCAAGGGGGTGAAACCACCCCTTAAATGTTACAATATTTTTCATTTAAAAAACGGTCAAGTTTCCGAAAAACGCTTAAACATGTATATTTTATTTTGTTTTTTACATATTTTAAGATTTTTTAAAAATGTATACAGGGTGTTTCGAAAAATCTGGTCATTGATTAATCCCGATCCTCCTTAAAGCGCTTGACGTAAAAAGCTGATTTTTGGATAACGGATTAACTTTAGAGTGTAGAGGTTCGATACGAAGGGATTTTTCGAAACTCGAATTCTAAGGGGGTGAAACCACCCCTCAAATATTAGAATATTTTTTTATTTAAAAACCGGTGAGTTTTTCGGAAAAACTCTTAAACAAGTATATTTTATTTTTTGTTGTTTTACATATTTTAAGATTTTTTAAAAATTTATACAGGGTGTTTCATAAAATATGACCATTGAGTAATCACGATTCTGCTTAAACTGCTTGACGTTTAAAGCTGATTTTTGGCAAACAGATTGACTGTGGGGTGTAACGGTTCGATAAGGAGGGATTTTTCGAATTCCATATTCCAAGAGGGTGGAAACGCCCCTCAAATATTACAATATTTGTTATTTAACCCATATAACCCTGAAACTATTTTTTTTGCATTTTATGTATTTTTTTCTTGAAAACGGTTAAATTAAGGTCACTTGAGCTAGGAAAAAATGCAAAAAAAAATTTGGTTGTTCAGTTTTCCAAAAAAATGGTGGCCTTTTAAAAGGACAGTAGGTTTAAGAGCTGCTGCTAAATAAATAAAATACAAATCAAAAATATGTTAATTTATTCTATCAAAAAGTTTTACAAAATATTTAAACTCAAAATTTAAACTAATTGGTATGATAGTTGATAAACAATCTTTTGGGTGAAGAGAAATATTGCATTTTTGACACAAGAAATTTGCTTTTTTGTGGCACACAGCACACCTTCGCTGATTTTCTTGGTATATCACTAAATGATCTAGTCTGTCATAGCGCGTATATTGGTGCGCGTTTTTCGGCAACTTTGAAGGCCCTTTCTTAGTGCTTTTCTTGTGGGATTCTAATAGTTCTGTACCGATATCTCTTCTAAATTGTAGTTGGTCAAGGGTACCACCATCATTTTTATGAAGGTGCCATGAGTTTTGTACTACCATGTCGACACAATGCGAAAACAAAGGAAAATACCACTTCTTACCACGTATGGAAACTCTGTATTGGCCTATGTTTTGGTCACTGCGATCTACGCCACCCATGTTTTCGTTATATGCTTTAATTAATCGTGGCTGATCTATACTCACATGCTTTTTCTCAGACTGAGAAAATCTTTTCACTTTATGTACTGGAAAAACTGTACAAGCATTAGTGGCCAATGTAACGACGCTATTGTCATTCCATTTGCACAAGGCGATTTCATTGTCAGCAACTCCATATTCAAATGTGCCTCTAGCCTTTTTCTTTAAAACTGTCGAGTTACTGAATGGTGATTTGGGGATCCTATTTTCGCGTATAGTACCAGTTGCCTGAATATTCCTCAATTTTAACTCTTTTAGAAGCGATAAAGAAGAAAAGAAGTTATCAAAGAAGAGATGGAAGGGCTGATAAGGCATTTTTTGCAACATATCGGCATATTGGAGTACAACTGACGCTCCCAAACCCATATGCTTATATTTTTCTGAAATTGTTGTCGACGAACCTTGATACGGGTCAAAATAAACTATATATCCTAGTCGTAGAGTACCTACCCAAAATTTATACCCCCACCTTATCGGCTTTCCTCTTATAAACTGCTTGCAGGTATGCCTCCCAAAGTACGGTATCATTGCTTCGTCAAAGCTGTGGTTCTGTTCAATTGGTGCAAAATCAAAAAACTTTTTATTTAGATTGTTAAATAATGGGCGAAGTTTACAGTATTTGTCATTTTTGTCAAGAGTCGTATTATCATTACAATGAAGATTACTCATTATGAATTGAAACCTGTCTCTGGATATAGCGGCTGATATAAGCTTATTCTGAGTATCATCGCAGTTCTGCCAATACATATGCCGTCTTGAAACGCTTGCGTAACCACTGACAAGTAACACCCCTAAGAAGCAGTACATCTCGTCTACCGTAATGTCACCGGTGCGGTTTTTTTGCTGTGAATATACATTGCTAAAATTAACAATTTCTTCTACTAAGTCTTTATCAAAAAAGATCTTAAATGTAGTTCCAGGTGAACGATTATTTTTTACATTTTGAATTGGTTGCCATTCCAAAAACGAATTCTCTAAATCTTTATTTAGGGTATAAGCAAACGTCTTGCTATTTTTAGGTCGCCTCTCTATAAAATTTGACAATGGTAAGCCATCATCGCTGTCCCAATCGTTGTCACTTTCCACCTCAAAATCAATTTCGGCCTGAGCTCTCAACTGCACCCCAGGTAAATTATTCGGTACTACATCATTCTCGTCCCCAGAATCTTCGTCTGTGTCGCAGGTATCGTTGGCATTTTCCGGTGGAAAAATCACAATGCCTTTAGGAACCTGCGGTATAGAATCACTTTCCAACTCCTCTAACAGTTCTGCCAAAGTCAGTGGCTTTTTCCAATACCTAAAAAATCATCCATAGTAGTATAAAACCCTACCATCCTTTTAAAAGGACATGCTCAAATGCACGTCAATGGATGGAATAACAAACACAAAATATAACTTCCAATACAAAAAACGATTAGTTTATGTTGTTCTTGGTTAGAAATAAGTAAAATAATAAGAAAATTATAAACAAGTTTGAAGATAACTTACCTTTTGTCACTCATTGTATAATTGTAATATTCAACAGACTTTATTACCGTCACTATCAATGTAAAATCAAAAGGAATACAATCGAACCAAATTAATTCTGTTTCAGAAATGTTGAATTTAAAGTGTTAGACTGGCGCCATCTTCAAACTAATAAGTGAACTGGATATTCGCAGGTTTCTTTTTAAAGTCCTTTTAAAAGGACAGTAGGTGTAAATGGGTTAAATAACGGTTAGTCTTTCGGGAAAACGCTTGGACATGCATAATTTATTTTGTTTTTTACATGTTGCGAAATTTTTTAAAAAATCATACAGGGTGTTCCAAAAAATTGGGTAATTGATTAACCACGATTCTGCTTAAACTGATTGACGCAAAAAGCTTATTTTTGGCAAACGGATTTTTCGAAAGTCCAATTCCAACGAGATGAAACTACAAAACACAAATATTACCAAGTTATATAATAATATCGCCATATTGTTTTTTCTCGTGCTAACCTAAATGTGAGAAAATGTTATCCAGTTTGTATGTTAATGGAAATTCTTGCTTTGCTTTATCATCACTATTACAAATGATTAATTCGACGCGAACGAAGTCGCGGGTACACGCTAGTATTCTATTAAAATTTTTATTTTTTTTAAGAGGTCGAAATCGATTTAAACCTGACATAAAAAAACGTAATTCAATTATTAATACGTCAGGGCTCTTGTGTCCTGTAATTATAGTGGACAAGGGCCGCATGTGTGTCCGCCGACACGCTGTACATAAAAATGATTTGTTGTGGACACAAGAGAGGACAACATGTTGTACAAATTATCTTATATAAGGCCGGACCAGGCCCTGCCCGGTCCAGTTTTGTATATTTTAGAAGTTTCATATCGAAACTATGAGCAAGAACCGGACAAGTTTTTCATAATGTCCATCATTTATCATTTCTTGTCCGGCAGAATTGTATTTTTTTATTTTTTGGGGTGTCTTGATGTCGGGGAGAGTTTAATCGGATTTTTTTTTCAAATTAACCATAGAAGAAGAATAGCAATATGCAAGAAGGGTAATGCAAAATATTTTAGAAACTCATTATTCTTTATATACCTACACAGATTTTTCGTTAGTTTTTCCATTTAAAAAGTTATTTTTATTTTAATATTAACTTAATTTTGAAATAAAATTATGGAATCATAATATTAAATAAGGATTTAGGAAGGAGCTGTAAGGCTCCGAATAAGAAAGCAAAGTCATCCTACAAAAGAACTTTTAACGAATTGTTATGGTGCCTAAGTTGTTATTCGATTACCATTGAAGCATATCCCCACAAAAAAATGTTTTAATCAATTGGTAAAATTATAGTTCTCGAATGCCATTAAAAGTGACAACGGATTTCACTGAAAGTCGTTATAATAAATAGAAAAAGTCCTTCAGCTGTGCCATATTTCGATTTTGTGGCAAAAACCGTACTAATTAATAACCAAATAATGATCTTATTTGATATTACTGTATATTTTTACCACCAAACCGCAAAAGTTTGTTAATTTGAATTTAATATCAATAATTAAAGCTCAATAACAAGTAATTGAGGCTCAAAATAATTTAAAGAACTAAATGCTCAACTGCTAAGGTATTTTAGAACAAAGTTTACGTAGGTATCTGATAGAGAAAGTAACCCCACTTGTATCGGTGAATAGCAATAAGGCTTGTGCCTGACAGAACATTTGTCTTAATGCGACTTAATATGTCGATAGGTTCAATAAAGCTCACCTATTGATTTATAGCTTGCCGACAGTTTTTTCTATATTAAAATTCTTCGTGAAAACCTTCCTTTTTAAAAGAAAGCTGTTCGTTACAACCTTTCCTAAAATATCCGAGCCTGTTGATACAAAACTGAAAATTCAAAAGCAACTGTATATCTAAACTAAGATAGTCCTGAAGGTTTGCTGAATCACGAGCTGAATAATCGAAAAATTTGATTTTGGGCGAAGTCAAATAGAAAAAAACGAGTAAGACGTAATACTCATCGACAATAAAAGACTTCATTTCATGGATATTTAAGATATAAAAGATATGGCGACGAAAAAAGGAGCGCACTTCGTTCTCGTACCTGGAATTCAATTACACGGGCACAAATTTTTATTAATTTCATTTAAGCCAATGGGTTAACACAAAAATCCGTAATTAAGGTCAGTAATGCTTTAAAAGACGCCGAATTCTATAGAATCGGAAATTTTAATCTCTTCAGCGCCGTGCTTTTTTGCTGTTTAAGCACTAAAAGTAATAGATTTTTTTAGTTGTGACTGTACCGCGTGAAACTTCTCACTTTGTAACGATTAGGTAGGATATTTTTATATAAAATTATGTGTATAAATAAATAAAATATGGCACAATTTATCGCGAAATATTATTAGTGCCATTTTGTGACTTATACGTCGTGTGGAATGCATAATGTGTAATTTATCAGTTTCTATTATTGGCTTAGGTATCTGAAAACTGCCAACATTCCGGCAAGTGGAACAACCACTGGGACAGACACATAAAAAGTAATTTGCAATGAAAAAATTCCTGATAATGATTGTCTGGTTATTTTACCATGGCCCGTATAGGCGGCTCCAATCGGAAGTTGACATTGACTGCCACTAACAGAATGTTCGTTTCTTTTGTATATACCGGCTCTGAGTTGATCTGCTTACGTTACCTTTACAAAAAAATATACCAATAATGGCCTAAAACACCTTAAATGTTTTTATATACATAAAATTCGTATTCTAGATAACTAGAGCACCGTTATTAAATTTACCGTTTAAAAAAAATATTAATAACGGTCTCATATAACCTTAAAATGTACTTGACGTATACAAAATTGTATATTCTTAAAGAAAATTTCCACCTTTCAGGTAAAATATTATTAGTATTTCAACAAATTTGGTCTTAAAGATTTTGCAAGAGAAGTTATATGTTTGCCGTTTACATAAAAATATTAGGAATAATCTGAAACGACTAAAACAATACTTCTTGTATACAAAATTTTATATTCTTTTAGGATATGGTTTACTTTGGGCAAAAATATTACTACTTTTAACAGAGGACCCGAGAGAGACAGCTCTTATTTCAGTAGATCTTGTCTTAAAGGTAGGGAAAAAAAGTTACATGGTCATTGTTTAAAATATCATCAGTAATTGTTTGAAACAACTAAAACTATAGGCTTGGTGCATTTCAGTTGATTTCAGTGAAAAAGAATTCAAACTACGCGTCGTGTTGTGTTTGGTTTGGTTTGGTTTTGACAATTTCAAATGTATAAAGTTGCCAAAAATGTTAACGCGTAAATGAGAGCGTAATTAGAACGTTGTTGGGTGCAATAACATTCAATAACTCAAGTTTCCCGGATATTCAACTCTCCCGAAACAAAATCTTCATCGTTTCTCACACCGATTTGATCAAAAGAGTAAACAAAGTGCTCGTTACATAGTCAAAAAATTAAACAGACATATACTATAAGTGGATAAATTATAATTTGCAATATTAATGGTATACTTTTTTTAATCAACTAGTGATTAAATGATTTATGGACATCTTCTATAATTATAATTATGTACCTTTAAAATTTTTTGTTATAGTCGAAATAGCCCCAATTACGATCCCACTAGCAAAACCGGTGATTAAAACTATACTGGCTACAGTAGTTGAACTCATCTAAAAAATGTTTAGCTGGAATAATAATTATAATACAAGTGAGACCTTCTGAAGATATCAAAATATTTACTTTTTTATTTTTACTTTTAGAATTTTCACAAATATTAAATAATAAATTTTTCGTATACCCGCTATTTAAACCCGTGTATTTGTATATACTAGTTGCTTAAGATAATCTCCGATGATGGCAGCACCGGCGGAGAATGCACCAAGCCTATATACTTCTCCTGAGCAAATTTTTATATTCTTATAGTATATGTCCACACTTAAAGTAGAATATTAATAACTTTAATGTTAATAAAATGATTTATAAATAAAAAAATATTAATTGGTATTTGAGATATTTAAAAATCACAGTTAATTCTATAAAACAATATATACTTTCAAGAAAATGCTTGAAAAAAGAGTCTTCTCAAATCCTTCGATATGTAAATAATCGTGGAGTTCTTCGCGAACTTATCAATGATCCGTATTCCAGCGTGGCGTTAGCTGAGGCCAAGTGCCCAATATGAGCCCAGTAGAACCCCGAACACGTATGGAGACGTGACCCAGCTGTGTACCGCAATATCTGATGACCCAAAGACGATGAGACGAAGAACCTGGTGCGTGATCGGCATGGCGCTGCTGGGTCCGCGCGACGTCGGCGGCGTCTAGCTGCGACGCCCCCACGTAGGGCTGGGGGGCCCCATCGGCACGTAGAGCAACGCAACCCGTCTGGAATAGCCGATTACGCTCTTTGCGAAGGTCAACCGATCCGATACATTTCGTCTGCCCTCTCTTAATTTTCCATAGATTTATTAAATGTCACAACAACAGCCTTCCAAGACGTGCACATTTATCAACTCGTTTATAATCAATAGAAAAGGATAACCATATAGCCAAAAATAGAGACGTCTTACGATCGGGATTATTAAAGACAATTCTATTTTTATTAAACCAAGATTATTATAGATTCAAAAAATGTTCAAAAACTTAATGTTAATATCTGTACCTCAGAAGCACTTGGGCTGAAGTCCTCCTGAAGAAATGTGAAGTGCCTATACACGAAAAGTATAGCAACCTCAATTCACTATTTGCTTATTATATTTTTTCTTATCATATATTCAACAAACAGCCTTTCTGCTACAGAAAGCCACGATAATGGTATGTTCAAAAGTTCCATAAACAACATTTAGTAAAAAAGTGTATGTATACGTGTCTTAATTTTGGTATAATTCTCATCACGTAACTTTTCCTAGTTTCTACATTTGGCATCTTGTATGATAATGCCATGACTCAAACGAAAAAAATCTAGGCAATACCTAAGCAGTGGATATAAATGTGTTTTAATAAAAGAATATTGGTAAAACTATACATAATAAGTCTTAAATAGGCGCAAATATTTTCAGGGGTGGTATATTATGTCATCACCAGGTGTCACCACCAGGTGCCAGGACACGTCTATGAGTTTTTTTTTGTAAAAAAAGATGTTGAAAATCGTGCTTTTTCTTTTAAATTTTCCTGTATACTTTAGAAATTTTTTTAGAACTTCCTGTTCAC